GAATTGTCGAACAGAGCCGCTTAATCCCCACATTTTTAAAAGATGTCCACCACCGAATCTAGCAAATCGTCATTAATTCATCCGATTAATGTCATCATATTTGAAAAGTTGTGAAGAACTTGTTGGATTTGGTTGGTGAACGATTTCGTTGAGAAAAGTCGCTTTAAGTGACGATTTGGTTTATTCGGTGGATGTGTTAGATTTCTGGATAATATGGGGAACAGTACGGTGAAAAAATTGGTGAATGAGGTGTAAAAAAGGTTAACCACTTTGATTAGTTTTATCATTTGCATAATTTCAATTCCTTTGTATCTTCACTCTTTTATACCATTTACATCATTCCTTTAAATTGCGTTAATTGTCTATTATTTAAGTACAACATTGATACAATATAATAGATTAAACATTCAATTACTATTTATAACAAGCAATTACTACTAATTACCTTTAAGAAATTACTATTAATTATCCTTTTGTCTTTTAATGCTTTCCATCATCATTCATCCCATGAACAGTGGTAAAAGAAGTATGGCCAACACAGAGAAGGAATGATTACTATTTACCAATTTGATTTCAATGAAAATAATTGATAGCTGATTGGAACTGCAAACAAACAATTCAACTGCGTTATTTTGCTTGAACACACAAATCACTAATTTCCCATTAAAGATCACCAATAAATTGATGTTAAACTAATTCAAGATGATGTAAAAAAACCTTTAATTGCTCCTGATTAAAGTAGGATGAAATTAAAGTTGAACAATGGTCACTTCGATTATTGTTTATTTCACTTTACCTTACCATGTAAAATGTATTACTTTTTGTTTGTAAACCTTAGCCCGTAACCCTATTAACCCGAGAGCCAGAAAGAGCGGATAACTTAGACTCAATTATTTACCTGTAACTGTTTTTTATTTAAAACATTACCAAGTTATGCATCATCTTTAATTATTTATCATTAAACCAGAATACCTTTTTGGTTTCTCAATGTAATTCAATCGACTATTTTTAAACAGCCGCTCTTTCATTATGAATCATCTTAAATTTGTTTCCACTGAATACAATAAATTCAATCCATATTTATGACTCAAATTTTTCATGAAACAAAACATTGTCACCGAGAAAAACTAAAACTTTATATAAAATGTGATTCTACAGCTGAACAAAATGAAATCTAAGTTTAATTGAAGGATATAGGATTTTATTGAATTTTTTTCAAGGAAAAGAGTGAAGTAAGTTGAGAGTAGGTTACGATCGGCATAAAAACACAATTGTCAGAATGCGAAATACAAAAGTTGAATTCTTTCCACTTTGCCATATTAATAATATTCATTTTGTAATGAATAAAACCGAAAATTGGAAATGGTGATGCTGATGAGGTGGTGGTGGAACCTGAACTGGAACTGGGACTTGGACAGGCACAGGCATAGGAACAGGCACACGAATTGGAATCGGAATTGGAACTGGAGACTGAACTGCAACCCGAAATCGATGAGCAACAAAAGGTTGAGGCTGCATTGGGACGGTGTTGACTGCATGATCATGGTGACCCTGATGGTGCATCATTTCATCCTCTTTGCCAAGCATCATCATCTAAGGAACTTGGATTAACTGTTTACATAACTTACTAAGTTTGGGTTACTTCTGATCGAAGTTTTAACTTTGTCGTGAACTATGTCGTGAACTTTTCATCAGAGAAATTTTATAATAATTTTCAATTAAAACGAATCGCACAAATAGATTAAGTTTTCATTTCCCTACAAACCATGTTAATTTCAATGAAAGAAACGCAATATTGAATAGAAACAAATTATCATTCAAGTTGAAATGAAATGAAAGGTATGAAGAGCTTCTAAGGTTTATTATATTAACAAACTAAACCAACTGGACGCAAGATGTTGGTTTCAACTATTTTTTGGTTCTAGGTTCACCGCTTATATCGATTCGCTCGATGAACTTAGGAAAATCAAAAGGTCTGTTTGGATCGGCACCAATATTTGTCCAAAAGATGAAACGTTTCTTCACATCGATAGTGATGGCTCCAGGCCAATCATAAGAAGGATCCAAAGTACGGTAAAGTTTAGGCTGCTGTTCAATTGAAGTAAGAAAATAGTTTAATTAAATTTATCGAAGAATCAAATCAACTGCTCGTTTTTATACCGGTACTTAAAACATACGTCATTCCCTAAGAAATTTTTCAAAAATCTTTTTGATCTGACTCCATAGTCATCAATCCAAATTAAAGCGATAATAATTCATTCCATCATAATCATACATGATTTTTTGCATTAAGAACAGAATCACACTATTCCTTGCTTCTGGGATAAGTTCATTTTATTTAATTTCATTTTTCTTTAGATAAGATTCCTCCATATCTCTTGCAATGATCAATCCATTTGAGCAATAAATTTCATTTTTAATTAGTCTCTTAAATACATGAATCAAATTCCTTTGAGCAGGGAAAAGAAAGGTCATTACAATGTAAATGAAGATTTATTAATAATAATAAGATAATGAAAACAGGCAATT